ATTGAAAGCCTGTCTTAGCTGCAGCAGTCATAAGTAACCCTAACCCTAACCACCGCTGCAGTAAATCATTAGCTAAATGGCTAATTCCACAGATTAGCTTTCTTGTCAGCTGACCGCCTAGAAAAGTTAAAGGTGTTTTATTTTAGCATTATATGATTCCATCAATGTGACGGGGACCATTTGGTTTAATGAATCGTTTTGAGGAAGATGGATTACATAAAGACATATGAAAACATGTTAGTGTACCCCCATGTACATGGGCGTAGGAAGCATCCTGAATGTGGGGGGGACATATTTAATGGGGGTGTGGGGGTCCTCCCCCACGAAAAAAAATAGATTTCCTGTATTCTGGTGCATTTTAACAGGTGGTTTGATACTTTTATGTGGCTATACTAGCATGAGGAAAATGATGGGTACATTTTGTAATTTCATCCAGTAGTAAAGAAAGGAAACATATTTGATTATTAATTCAGAGCCGTCTTTGAATGAATAAAAAGCAGTTTAAATGCCCATTTTTTGTACATTTATATACAACAATAAATATTTGTGAGTGCATTGAGAGATATTGTTGTGGAGAGTCATTTATATATAAATCGCAAAATACATTTGTGAATCCTTCTGTGAGCATTTATTAATATTGAGACTGATCTGACTCCATACAGATGTTAAGTTCACCTAGGAATGGTATCATTGACTTAAATGTTCAAATAAATGTTGCTCTTCTGTCTATATTGGTCATATGATGCCCCTTGACTGAAATGCTTCCTGTTCAATATCCCCACTGATTTCCTTAACATTCTGGGATGAGAGTCCACATCACAATTGACTCTAAACTGTCATTTCCCTTTCATCACTCACCTCAGCAATGAACCTCTCTCCACTGTCCCTGTGTTCTGCCTCTGACTCACTCTCAAGCGCCTAGATATCAAGAGAGGTGGTGAAGTGATAATTATTTATTGAGCAGTATACTCTTTCACATTGAATCATAACAAGTCATACTGAATGTAAATACAACTGACTCTAAAGTAAGTCCCAGTCTGTGACATTGGACATTTTGAAGACTCAAAGTCCCAAGCAGTAGGTAGAATATTAGCTAGTCTATGTAATGTGCACAGAAAATAAATAGTTAACTGAATACTGGGATGGAAATTGCCTATAAGCACTCAGTAAAACATAAACACACACAAAAAGCTTCTGAATGATAAGAAGTATAATTAAAACATAATGCACATTACCATTTTGAGAGAGAGTACCTAAATTAAAGAACTCAGAAAATAATCTCTTATCGAACTGAGGCTCCAGTAAAACACACTGACTGCATCTCTACATGGACATCATGGTGTTTACATGAGCACAGAGAGATTGGGTTATTCATGTTCCCTGTTTACATGATAAATACTAGTAACCTGGCATTTCGATGCCTTTTCTCATCTAAACTATTCAGTATTTGTATCTCTCTATCATGACATAAAGACGAAACGCCTCTCCAGAAGTGAGACGCCGCCGCCATCACTGTTAACTGATTAACTGCTACCAGCTGAAGACTTACTTTCCTCTTCTTTGAAAAACATGTTCTTATGTCCATGTTGTCTGGGGGAGAAAACATATCAAACCAAGTATTGTCAGCTTTGATTTTCGCTGTATTCAATGTCCTGAACACTTGGTGTGTGTGTGCCTTACCTCCGCTACCGGCATCGCTTCATACAACAGATCTGAGCTGTCCAACTATGACAACACTCCTTGAACATGCGCGCGCTATGGGAGAATCTACCTTGGTACAAAGCAGCAGTGAAAACATGCAGGGTTTCCCACACATAGACTATACTTGGGCGGGCCGCCCAGGTATATTAACGGCCGCCCAAGTATATTTCGCGACCCATTTAGTTTTGTTTTTTTTATTCGTCCGTGACCACGACGCCATCTGCGATCGATTAACTTGTAGACAATGATCCCTCGCTCCCTTGCTCTGATCTCGCCTCCTTCTGGCCTGTTAAGTGGCCTGCCTCACACAGGGTGACTGGCTGTCCACATGATGTGGCCTGCCGACATGGCCACTGTCATACAGATCATAAATCAAAGCCCTTGATTGGTCTCTGTGTGTCATTCAAGCTCGGGATAACCTCAGCTCAGGTGAGGTAAAGGACTCTCTGAGTGTTTAGATAGTTAACTTAGTCTAAGTTCTCAGTGGGTCTCAAACGGTGTGGTCACCATTTATGTAAACACATATTTCCATTTGAGAGGGTAGTGATTGGTCTAATGGATAGTGAGGTGGGCTGAAGATCGGAAGGCTGTGAGTTCAAATCCCGCCAGGAACACCACCACTAGTGTGCCCTTGAGTAAGGCACTTAGCCCTTAGTTACTCCAGGGAGAATGTCCCTGTAATCGGTCATTATAAGTCACTTTGGATAAAAGCGTCAGCTAAATGAAATGTAATGTGATTAGTAAAATATGCATGAATAAATAAATAAAAAGTTAACTAGGTGAAAAAAGGTAAGATACACTTTTAAAACTTGTTGAGAGAAAACTAGTCTTTGCTGCTGCCTCAAAGAGGAGCAGGGGGAGAGGATGGAGAGGGGGGAGAGGAGGGAGACAGGAGAGGCTGATTCAGGAGCACAGACACACTCACAACTATAAATGAACCAAAACTAAATTAATAAACAAGTTTCAGTGTTTTTTTCATATTGGAAATGGTATGTTGTTGGTTATGGCCTTGATTTTATGATTATTGAAATGTATACAGTTCTGTTAAATATAGGTGTTTCCATAGATCTAGTCTCTTTATTTTCCCCTCAAAATGCACCAGATTGATGCATTTAACTCCAAAATAAAAAATAAAATCTTACCGGGGGGGCATGCCCCTGGACCCCCCTAGAGGATTTGAGGTCGACCCCCACTAAAAATCACATGGATAGGTTCCTAAATACATTAATAAATACATTTATTTTTTTAAATAGTAACCCATTTCCATATGTTCATGTGTGGGTAGTAGATTTAAACTATAGAGCTATCATTATGGACCCTGCCTGTACCTGTACCTGTTCGCTCTGCCATCGCGTCTGCTAACAAGCGACCAACAGAAAGGTTAATGTTGTTGCACGTCACGTCACCTCAACCCCCCGCTACCACCACCCCCCCCCAAGTATATTTCAGATCTGTGGGAAACACTGGCAGTTAATGGACCAGCACCAGAGGCGTTCCCATACACACAGGCGTTGGAGCTGTTCTTCATGAAATCCCAGAAGGATGAAGTGCTCTGACAAACAGTGCCATCTTTGGGCAAAATGATTATACCGGAATTACACCCCCCCCACCCCTCCCCTTGCCACCACCCGCCCAAGTATATTTCATATCTGTGGGAAACACTGACATGGTATGGAGTTTCATTGATTTGGGCATTCTCTCAATAAGCAAGTGGAATGGATTTGATAGTGAAACACTGACACAGCGCTCTACAAAGTGCGGCGAGTGGATAGACCGATTCACGGACTTTCCACATGGTAAAAGTGGGGGGGACTTGTCCCACCCTCATATAATGGCTGCGACGCCCATGCCCATGTAGCATACAGTTGGAGTAGCTTTAACCTTGCAGAGTAATGATATTCGAAAAAGCCCCGATACTAATACAAATCAGTGTTACTGTATCAACTTAAATTAAAGACTAACCTGAAATTAATAACATATATGGTAATTTTCTGATTGACCAAACCACATTTAATGACCGTTAAGTAGCCTAACCTAATAAATGTTCACTTAGATAAACAAAGGTGTTCATTTACTAATGTACAACTAAGCAACCACTTACAATATTTCCCGGTTATATAATAATATTTCACTATTATTTGCGTATTTTAAAGATAGTTCACACTCTAAAGCAGTGGTTCTCAAACTTTTTCAATAATGTACCCCCTTTGAAAAAAAATTCAGCCAAGTACCCCCTGATCAGCGCAAAAACTATTTGTTAGGGAAAAAATGCCTATAAAGAGGTACAGTATGGCGCTGCACCATCGGTGTCTGATTTATTAAAACAACAACCTTGTAACTGAGAAACACTTAAATATAATAACACTACAGTAAGACGACATTGAACTGATCTTTTTAATAAGTTGTACTTACAATTTAGTGAGAAACATGGGCTTGTGCTTCACTGAGGAACTTTGTCATTCTCGGTGACAGGGAGGCAACCTGCAGTTATTACACTTCGCGTTTTGAAATATGTGTAACTCTGTTCATATAAAACCCACACTGCTCAAACTTCGTTACTTTTCCTAAAATGTGTATATTTATTTATTTTGGGGGGTGGGAAATGAAGAGAGAAAAAGATATGAGCATTTTATGAGCATGGGATTTTGACCCCTCATATAAACATATGCATAATGCTGCGCTATACTTTGCGGCCGCACGCCGTTGCCAAGCAACGCTTATTGTTTAGGACAGGTCCTTTGATAAGCAGGCAGTCATATAATTAACTAGAACTAGCTAGATCTGATAGATTTGGATATTAACGCGAGTGAAGACCGGACGCAAGAGAGAGATCAGAGATCAGATCAGCTGCTGCTGACGGAGAACACGCAGCTCTTCCGGATCACAGCTGCCCCACTGTGACGGACCGTTGAGCGGAGCAAAATACACTAAGAGTAAGACCTAACACACTTAGCTAGCTTATCTACTCTGGAACTAGCTAAACTAGTTATAAATATATTTATTCTTTACTGTCGGGTCACTTATTACAGGATCAGCGAGCTGCACGAGACTGACGGGCCGTTAGGGTTAAGGGTTAACCCTAACCCTAACCCATTTTATTATCCAGAATTACTGTAAACCTTTGAATAAAGTAAAGTTTGTTTAAATGCATTACTTATGTTTTTTTTTCATGAACATAAAATAAATCTCACGTACCCCCTGCAGTACTGCAACGTACCCCTAGGGGTCCGCGTACCCGCATTTGAGAACCACTGCTCTAAAGCACTGAGTTTCTGGGTGTATTAGTAAAGTTCACTCACCTGCATGCTCCAGTAGCATTTTTGCGATGTCCATGTGTCCATTTAGCATGGAGTCATGCAGAGGACTGACTCCGCCCACCTGGTTATCGAGTATTGGTGCAGGGTGGTGTTGTAGCAAAATCTCCACACACGCAGCGCTGCCATGGTTGCACGCTTCATGCAGAGGAGTCCAGCCTGCATGGTCTACATGGTGCACAAAAAAAGCACACACAAAAAAAACAAGCGCATCAACTTTATGTATTGTTTATCTATTGAGGTAATAACCTTAGATAGGCATTTCATATATCTATCACATCTAAGACTTCCAAAGTAGTTTTAGACAATGTTAAGGTTTGACTGGAGGGATGAAACATTGAAGATGAATTATTTTGGCATGAGCAGGCTAACCCACTCTGTTGCAAGAGGAAAGCGATTGATTAGCTAAGGGCGCAAATAACTCGGCTAGCAAATAAGATAACGTATGTAAGTTGAAAAAACTCTGTGCTGACTTAGGTAAAAATGAAAAGCACCTTGCAAAGTAATTGTGGCTAATAATGAGAGCATTTTAAGATTTGATGTGATTCTTTATATCAAAGAATTATCTCACAATTATTTTGCCTTAAGAAATAAGACGACTAAACTAAGGCGCGTAAGACTGATAATGCTATTATGAATTACCTGTACTTTGGACACTTGTTTGGGCGTTACAAACAGTTTGCTAACCTCTACCAATGTGCGTCTTACATAACATAATCATACAAAAATCAGCTTTTCCAAGAAATATAAAAATAATTGAGTCCATATTTTACACTGTTCATAAACAATGTTAATGAATAGACAAGTTCTAAAGAATACAAAATATACCATTTGGAGAACGCCACAACGGAGATCTGTTTTAACCGGTAGAACGACTCCAACCATAAATGTTCGGGCCTGGTTAAGAAAGACAGCTGCAAGGTAATGGCGATAATTTTACCATTTAGCATATACATAGTTCTGCCTAATCACATTTTGGACATCAACTCCTGCATTAGTCCCCAACAGAGAAGCTAGTCAATTTATGCTGCTATTACAGGGCTATTACAACATTGGAGAAACCTTTAAAACAGCGCAACATTTCCATAAAAGGAGGGAAAGCCATTATATTTGACCTAAAGGGACAAAAGAAAGTCACTCTGAAATATCACAAGGCATTCAATTCACTTAGCAAAGTCACCGTAAAGCAGAGCTAATCTGAGTCTCTAAACGCATCCAGCTTTTTCTAGACACACCCTTTAGATTTTAGGTAAAGGTTAACCTCAATGATGACGCACACGCACTCCTATTTCTTCTCACCAATTTTATTCCCCCCCATGTTAATCGCTTTTTCGAAACCCTAGAGCAAACAGTGGAGTGCAGTCAGATGACGGTGAGACGGAGGCTATAGATAAAAGCGAGAAAGTCTTACCTTTAACGTTGATGTCTGTGTTAGGAAGCGCCAGGATCTGAAGCACTGTTTCCACTTGGTTCCTCTTGCAAGCTCTGTGGAGGAGGGTCTCTCCTTCGACCAGGACACACACAACAGACAAACACACCCAAAAGAGAGAAGAGAGAAATCCAAAATTAGGGTGTGCCCCGATGTCCTGCCCATTGTCCCCCTCCATATGGTGAGCAAACCAATAAAATACCACAGAAATGTCCCCAAACACCAAAAAAAAAAACCTGACCTAAAAAAGTACGAACCGCCAATGAGGATGCGATTTAAGTAGAGTGATGAGAAAAGGGGGGAGATCTATCAAATGAATAAAATTAGATGAGACTAATTTGCCTCGCTCTTTCGCTCTTTTATAGACACAGAGACTTACACCCTGAGCCGAACAAAGTTAAGATCGGGGCAGTCGGCGAATGAATGAATGTAAGGGAGAGAATGTAGCCTTGCTTCCTGTCCGCTCGTCCCTATATTGTTACTTGAGAGGAAGTTATGGTAGACAGCCCACGCACAAAGCCTCGAAAAAGGATTCTTCACAGATCCAGTGTTCAAAAGCTCCGCTGGGCATTGCCAGTGTCACCACGTGATATTTAATCTAAATTACCAGTGAACAAGCGTGGCAAAAACGCTCTCGAGGAAGTCCATTTACATTATTAAAACACACATTTATTCCCCCCTCTTCCCTTTTTTCTCATCTTTACCCCGTCCCTCACTTTTTCCTGATACAATATTAAACCAGGAATATATTAGCGGGCCAGAGCCCCCTCTTTTCATGTATGGCTGAACTTCAGAGGGAAGTTAAAGGCCAAGCATGAGTGGCTCTGTGCTTGCCAGTATAATACAGCACTGCAAAGCCCATAATAAATGCTTTACTAGCTCTCCCCAGGATGCCACGCCTGTACAGGGGCTCCACTCCAGCGTGCAGAGAGCACAGACTGGGGCAGAAAGGAGGGGGGGGGGGGGGGGTGGAAATAAGAAGCAGTGGAGGAGAGAATGAAAAGGGTTTCCTGCTAGCATATAGGGGAAATATTGGAAATCCTGGATACTATTCATCCTGAAGAATTCTTTTCTTTCACGAGGTGTCTTTGATGATGCAGAGGACGTGTTAAATGTCATCCACCGGTAATAGAGGTTGAATAGTAGAAAAAAAGACGGGGAAAGGGTCGGAATGTTTATTAAAAAGAGGATCGTTTATATTCTCCAAGGAAATGTGATGCAAGTCAGAAAAACGACAGTGTTTCTCCTCTAATCTTAGTTATACATAATGCTTAATTGTATTTAACCTTATGTAGTTGACCTTTCAGCTTTAAATAATAAGAATCTTTTAGTGGCAACAGGCTGTTAAAGGTTACAAAAGTTAAATGGAATAATGCTGCTCGGGTGCCAATGTCGACAAAAGAGACTTAAAAGCATAAAAAGCAATGCAATTGTATTCTAAAAAACAACCCCTGGGAGCAGTTTGGGAAAACAAACAGTCCGATGAAGCACATGGCAACTTATTTCAAGTCATTCTAAAAGTATGTGTAAAAATCATATTAAATTACACATAAAAATAAATAAATGTGTTTGCCAACCTAACATGAGAAAGCAGCCATTGGAGGTCGTACAGCATAACGAAAAAACAATAATGAGGTCAATCAATGTAGCAAACCGATATTTCGTCATCTTAAAATCAGAAACACCCGAACAGAGGGTGAAGCCCGGTCCGGACTACAGTCACTAATGAGTAAGCTGTACTGTGCGGCACGTCAGTGTTCTACATGGGCTGCTCTGCTATTACCGGGCTCTAAAACGCTGTGATTAAACACCCATTCCACTACACCCCATGTGTACACATCCTCGCAAATGCCAGGGCCAATCCACGCACTGTTAAATCACTTTAATGGCTCCAATTTGGACACAACGCCTCTATTATAGGGGTAATTGCATGCTCAGCATTTACAAGCACGGAAAGGATAAATCCGCCTGTCCTTTTCTATAAATCCCCCGTTTCACACTTTAATAGAAAAGTGAAATGTATGTGTTGCTCTTTATATCCCTCAGTCTGCTTGCTACACTCCTGTAAAGTGTCGCTTGGCCCGCCGATGCCTGGACCAAAAAGCTGCTGGAAGCCTGTAACAATGCTATTTGCGATGAATGTGTTGGAAAGGTATTCAGTGCCAGTTATTGGATATATTTGAACACTACTGCCGTCGCTGGCTCGAAGCACACCACGTTAATTCCCGAGCATCAAGATTACTGCAGCCTTTACAGTGCCTCAAAATAATTGACTGGCATTAACGCAAGTGACTATCATTTTAACATTCCACTGGTGACGATTTTAATGTAGGATACCTCCATTTAATCAGTGATAAACCACGTTGGGCAACAGCCTAGCCCCTCTGTGCCAACAGGAAGTAATAAGACACAGACTGTCTGTTAAAAAATAGCAAGCAAATTCACTGTTGCTTGGAATAAACAGTGAAAGTGAAGCCAAACAAAAGTATATAAATGTAATATGCAAACCTGGCTCCAACAAGTATTTGCCTCTCTCATCTTTGTGTTACACCGTGGTACGAGCAGATGTATTACTGATGGCACGTAGAGGTGCAGTAGGAATGGTGGAATGGACAGGCACAGATCCTAATCAATGTTCACTACAAAATCACTGGGTAGAAAAATAGATCATAAAATAGATTGGGTAATTAAATGAACATCAGGGAGACAGTGTTTTAACTGCCCAATCTGCAGCACATAGACTGCTGAGGCAGTTTAGGCCTTAGTCTAATCCAACCACACTACAGATAGTGCTGCCGACCAAATGGGAGTCAAGTAGTGTGGTTACAGTTTGCAAACAGTGTATGAGGACTATGCCATAACTCTTGAGCATGCTAAATATATTTTGAAGAAGGATTCATCTCTGATCATCTATTAAATCACTAATTTCTTACAAAGTTCTCTCTCATTTCTGGATAAAGTTGCTTGGAATACCTTTACATTCCCAATAACAAATCCTAGCTTTTGAACTTTGCTGTTGACTTTAATAGTTTCAGGATGACATGAAGCTTCAAGTAAACAGACTTTAAGTGATGTTACACACAGTAGTTTTTGTTTGACATTCTCCACACAGTATATTCAGGCTGATTTAGATTGAAATCTCTGCCGAGTCTCCAGGAACAAATACTCATCTTAAAAACAGAGAAGTTCTTCCAAATCCCTCATCCCTTCTCAGCTTCTTTGACAAAGATACTGAGGTTCCAGGAGGTGAGGCAGATGCTCCAAAGCAAAGAAGTGCAGCATATAAGAAAGCAGACTCACATATGTGGGTGAAAAAAAGCCTGAGAGAGAAAGAGAGTAAGGGAGAAAGAGAGAATGGGAAGGGATGAGAGGGCGAGAGGGGAGGATGCTGTGCCGATGGTTCATCAAAAATTAATGCCGACCGCATCGGTATAGAGATCACGTAGTGGAAAAACAACAGCCTTGAGACTTCTGCCTCAACCCCCCCTCCCCACCCCTCCTTCGCACCGGCACAGGGCCTTTCTGATCAGGTGCAGGGGGGAGATATGAGCTCTGACACCTTCAGGAGTTCACACAGAGTGCCATGCCTCTAATTGCAGGAAGTTCCACCAGTGCAGCTGCTGTATCTCCGCAGCCCCGCCCTAATTGCTGCATTTAATATCTCTAAAATGGAGATCTGAGGCGCATTGTGCGTACTAATATGTGTTATTGTTTTGTGTGAGGAAGCCATTATTTCTGTCCATGCCATTTATTTATTTATCTATTACTTTTTTTTTTATAAAAGGTGAACAAGACATGAGGAAAAAGCAAAACAAAAAGCACAGTGTTGAATTTCAATGCGCATAGAACAAGATGAGGAGGCGTTATGCGGCCCAAACGCTGCCCTGAACACGCGCGCGCCGCAAATTATGCAGTCGAGTTGACTTTACAGCTGACTAGATGGAAGCGTGGTCCGATGCAAATCAATCACTCTCTCCATACATTATGTGCTCTTCATTAAGCTGAAAGTGATGACAGAGCTATCATGTCCCTCTTTACTGATGACCTAGTGCAGTGCATCAGTCCATTAAAAGTCCGCTCCTTGCAAATGTGCAGCTATATTGTCAAGCAGCCGTGTGTGTACGTGTGTATGCATGTGCCTTACCTGCTGCGTTGACTCTGTTTAAACCTTTGGGGACGTTCTCTTTCTTCAGGCTTGTTTCATTCACCGGAGAGCAATCAGCACTGTGTGGAGACAAAGGACATGGTCAAAGGGGGAATGAGAAAATCCACATGTATGTGCTAAACTTAATTCAATAAGAGATGACACTAAATGTACATGAACAGTTATTTAAGTTTCAATGACTGACCATTTCAGTACCACAGCGAGGAGACCTAATGGTACAGAGTGGAATGGGCATGACTTTAAAAAGTGCCATTAGCAAATGAATCCCTCATGGCGTTTTATCATTTTATATGAAATCTGAAAATATCTGTCAAACCCCACACACACACACACACACACACACACACACACACACACACACACACACACACACACACACACACACACACACACACACACACACACACACACACACACACACACACACACACACACACACACACACACACACACACACACACACACACACACACACACACACACACACACACACACACACACACACACACACACACACACACACACACACACACACACACACACACACACACACACACACACACACACACACACACACACACACACACACACACACACACACACACACACACACACACACACACACACACACACTTCACACACCCAATCCTCCATTCCCATCTCCAAAACACTTTTCCTCCCACTTAATGCCTCAAACGCAGAGACGGCGAATTCCATGTGAGCAAGCACATTAGGAGGAATAACTAGTAAAAGAAAGTGAAGCCTCTTCAAAGTAGTGGCGTGCTAATAGCTGTGGGCTGTCACTAGTCCTGTGAGTGGGTATGGGAGATCTGCCTACATGAAGCCTGACAGGTGTCTGGAGTGTATATGTCGGTGCACGTGCGCGTGCGCTGCATTGAAACGGAGTGCCATCCGTATTACAGGGAAGAGGCTTGTTCCCTGGTAATTGGCTTGTTCAGAAGCCAGGAAGGAGCTCCCAGCAGTGAGGAGGAAACACACGTCCTGTCACGTTGCTTGTTATTAGCAGGGACAAGGCTGAGAAGAGAGGAGACGAGCTCCGGGTGTGTATGTGTGTGTGTGTGTGTGTGTGTGTGTGTGAGAGAGAGTCCATAAGAGTGTTTGGTATAAGGGTGTACCGCTTCTCATCTCGGTACACTTCACCCAAGTGTCCCCTGTCCATATAGCCTGGCAGCAGTGGAGGTTGACAGTACTTGGCTTGTATACGCCCCAGTCTCTCCGTCCCTCATGGTTTACTTCAGCGGGCCAGCATGCTGTCAGTGGCACAGATATCAATTAAGGGCCTGGGGCAGCGCCTGCCCTTCGAGAAACGTATGAGCAGTAATAGAGGCAATGGGGAAGATCAATGTTTGCATTGTAACTTTAAAATGGCTTTAATTGTTGTTGTATATCCTTTTCTTGAATCCATCTGATATTGTCTACATGCAGGTCTGGTCAGAGGAAATTGAGCCAAAGTAATGCAAAGTTAAATGGCTTGAAAAGATAACAGCAATACACAGAGCTTGATTAAGCCAGCGGGAGAAAAATGTAGTTTAATTACAGCTTCCCTTCTGCTAACAACACTCACTGCCACGCAGCCAGACGGCAAGTCAAACGTCCATCTAAACAGTCGGTCAATCAGCCGGCCTGTCAGCTTGGTATGGCTTGGACGAATGCCCTGATGCCATCCTGTCTGTCGGTGCAGAAGCAGCACACTCGCAATCTCACACACTACAGCAGCCGCGAGTCACAGTAAAACAACCTAATGCGTTCTAACAGCCAGAAATGAAAGATAAAGGGGTCATGTGGCTCCTCTCCACCTTTATGACCTACACCTGCTGTTTTCATGAATCCAATACCAAACATCTTGCAGGGTTTCGTCTTGTGCTCTACGGACCCTTTGAAAAGGCAGATACAACTAAACTGAAACCATCTAAACAGTTTTACTCCTCCAGTGACACCACAATCATGTGTGTGCCATTTAAACACATTTCTTAAAATGCTGTTTTCACATCTTCTGAAAGTCTGAGAATTGTGCTCGAACAATAAATAAAGTGGATTTCTTAAATCTTTTTTAAATAATTATACTGAATCATAGCAGCAGCAACAACACAGATAATTGTTTTACAAATGTTAGGCTATAGAGGAGTGTGTCAGAATCATAAATGCTTCAAGGTGTGGTAATTGATTAAGAGTGTCAACATTGCTGAACACAAGAGTATCGTAAACTCATGCATGAAAACTGAGGAAACAAGATTTCCCTTTTGGTTCCTGTTCTCAATTCATCACAGACTGTGTCATTTTGATTTCATTCTTTCTTTCAGGGTCAGGTGACTTTACATGCCCTTTGGCATTTCTTTATCTCATCCACGCAGATTGCATTCCTTGTTTCATATAGTTCCTCTCACGTCTGTGTCAAAACAAACTAAAAAGTGGAAACTGTGGGGAGAGCAGAGAGTAGAAAGCAGTGATGGAGGGACGGGGGGATCATGCGGCACATGCACCAATAGCCTTTACATGAACCTGCTCCCTGGTGGCTCCTGCCCTTCTCCAGGCCAACTACCTGCTGGTGGAGCAGCAGATGTCTGATACCAAGTATGTAGAGTGTGTGTATGTGTGTGTGTTTTCAGAGAGATATTTAGTATGCGAGGGCAGATCAAGAGAGGTGAAGACGGAGGGTTAAGGCAGAGAGCTGGTGGTCGTAAGGGAAGACACAAAGGCCTGATGGGATATCCTAGTCTTTCTATCTGTCGGCTTCCTGTCCAAATCAGACTCAGCACTGTGAGTGTGTGTGTGTGTGTGTGTGTGTGTCTGTGTGTGTGTGTGTGTGTGTGTGTGTGTGTGTGTGATGCAGGGGTCTAACCTCCCTTTGCACCCCTCCTGTCAGCCAGCTCACACTGATAGGATCAGACCTGGGCATGACCCATCACATGCCAACTCCTCATGCTCCGTCTGACCTCCATTTGCCTCTCCCCAGCTTTCCCTCAGTCCCTCCATTCATGCTGCTCTGCCTCCCACCCACCACACACACACAAACACACACACCCTCTCCAGGTGTTCCTTTGTTCCTTTTCGCTCACATTTCTCATCGGGTCCTTGCATTTTCACTCGATTTTGCCCTTAAATCTATAGGTGGAAATCTGATAATGAAGGCAGATAACTGCTGGTTGAATAGACTTGTTATTTTAATTTAGACAAAAACAAGATACAAATAAATGGAGACAAGATGCAGCTAATTTGAATGGTTCCCAGAAAGTGGGTGTTTATTACCGAGCCATCGAGCAAGAGACCAGCAACACGTGTGCAGTTAGACACCCATTTTTGATCATCTAAACTCTTAAACGTGCCCTTTTCACTTAAGAAACTTTCAAAGAACCAAGAGACTACACTTTTGGCACATGTGCAGCCGCCACCTCTGCATGTGTGTTTCAACATGGTCAGCCTGTGGCTTTATGAAAATGTACCTGTGAGACTTTGGACAGACAGATGTGCGTAACTGACCTGCAGCCGGCCCCCTGGCTGGCGCCGCTGTGGGGGGTGGGTCCGGTCCTGAGGCGAGCACCGCTGGGACACTGAGCTAAATTTCCCAGAGCAGGCAGGTAGGACAGCACCTGTCAGAATTCACACAGAGACACACACAAGGTCAGACAGGGCCTTTACATTGTGTGTAGATGTGTGTGTGGCTTTAGGGGACGGAGGAGGCAAAAAGACAGGCCAGATGTTCTACTTCAAGCTGTCTCTCTTGCAGAGAAATGCAATATAATCCATGTTCATTTTCACAATGCCATTTTAACTAAATGTCTTTGAATTTTTAACAAAAAAGCACAATAGAAAAAGGAAACTTAATCATTAAAAGTTGTGAATTTATCTAAACATATTTTAATCAGTTTGTTGTATTGTCTTCAATTACTGTGTATTGCAAACATCAGTGTGTGTATGTATTATATAAATGTTAATAACCTTGCACACTCATTCTGCCAAAATCACTTTCAAAGAGTATATTAATTACATTTTGGGCCAACTGAATACTCCAACATTTAATTTTTACAAAATGTCACTCAATTTTATCATGACTTACTGAACTAAGCAGCACACGACTGTTGTGATTTGAAACTAAGAAGTGCATGCCTCAAATTATGACGAAGCCTGTCAATTGCATAATACAGGAATGATGAAAAGTGTAAGTAATGGGAAGATGTGAAGTCAGTGAAGAACAAGAAAAAAAGATAAACACACCATTTTCTTAAAAGAGATGGGTTCATCTCCAACTGTGAATCCATTTCTGCAGCAAAGACTCCTGAATATGCCGTCTGCTAACACCAATTTAAGTCGAGTAGATGTAATCCTGACGACTAGCTCCGCCAGCACTACCGGAGACACATCTACAGGACAAACAGACACACAATTGTCAGTGATGCATGTATTATATCTAGGGCTGTCAAACGATTACAGCTTAAAAATGTATTAATCATGATTAATCACCATTCGAACTATGTCCAAAATATGCCATTTCTTTATGTATATTGTTGTGGGAATGGAAAGATAAATGAAAGAAGGCGGATATATCCATTTAACATACAGTAGCCTATGTATGTATGTTTATTATAACATTGTTCTGTGTCTCAAAATGAAAGTCGGCCCACACACCTATCACTCATCAAACCGTGGGGTCTTATTTCATTACGTGTTGATTTCTCGCAAGATCTAACCGCCTTCTAGAAAAGCTTCACAAGTACGTCGGTACGCAAATGCGCTTTGTGACACAAGTGACGGTAAGCATTTCAGATTGTTGCCGCGCATGCGTACCAGTTATGTGCACCTACTACAGCAAAAGTATTCTCCGTCAGGACAACACCACGCCGTTATCTTGATTCTGATTGGCCAGAAGACATTATCAAAGATGTTCTATTGAGAAGACGATCACTACGTGACAAAAGTTATCAAAACCGTTTCTGGTCTTCGGTATTTCCAGACAAGTGGCTGCTGAAATCAATCTTACTAACTGCTGTCTGTGCAATTCTCGGCGCGAGTTGGCGGACTTTATTTTGCTTACTTTAACATCATTTTTCATGGTGGGGCTAAGCCATTTCTTGGTATGGGTGTAGCCTACCCCAGCCATACCCTGGCGCTGCCACTGGTGGGATGTATGGGGCGGGCGTGCGTTAAATGTGGTAAATATTTTAACGCAATTAATTAAAAAAATGAATTACCGCCGTTAACGCGATAATTTTGACAGCATTAATTATCTCATGTATTATTATTTTAATTGCATTTAATTAAATAAAGTAAAAAGCATTTGGGTCAGAAGACAATTTTTTTCTCAATAATCCAGGTGTCGCACTACTGAAATATGTTTAAAATAAATTTATTTATTTAAAGTATGGTACTGATTCTGTTAAAAGTTAATGACGTATACATTATGTATTTAATTGCATTGTAACAGCTTGGAAGTAACTACAGTATCAGTCAATATTAACAAACATAGAGTGAAAAGAATAAAAGGCAAATATGTATGCACAAATATGTATCCATACCCTGGCTGATGACAGCAAAATGCTCAGCGAGGTCTTTGAGACCCTTCTCCACCAGGGTCTGGTTCAGCTTGAAGTGCTGCTGACACCAGAACTCCACCAACACGGACAGCAGGTCCAGAAGGTTGTCCGCCAAACGCAGCTTCTGCTTCTCATCCCTATGAACACAGTCCTTCGGTGATGACAAACAAAAACAGTTTGAAGTTTGTTATTCTGGTCCGATCCGACCAAACTGGCTATTTTCTTGGGTGATGTAATACACCATCCAATGTGAATAACAATGCACAAATTCCCCAGTATTTACCTCAATGAAAGCCTGTAACAAAAGCCTGGTGAGTTGTTTCACAGCTCGGGACAACAGCGTGGAACGCTCCCACACAGTCCAGAAGGTTCCATACAGCAAGGATCCTGATGCAGGAGCAAAACAGACTCCTCTTCTTTCAGGCAGTACAAAATCCCTGAGACAGAGAAAGGCAGGGGTAAATAAAGAACAGACCATCTAATGTAACAAAAACAGTTGCATATACATTCAATTGTGTGGCCAATATTACATGCAGCTTGGTAAATATTTGTTGTTGACACAGCTAAGTGAAAAGAGCTAACCTGTTAAGCCCCAAACCTGTTTTCCAGGTCTTAGGCTCGAAAATGACATTTCCAGACCATAACTACACTTCTAAAAGAGGACAATTATTAATCTTTTTCCCCAAAGCAATGATAAACTTGTGAGTTGGATGTAGAGGAGTCAGAATCAATATAGATGTTTTTTTATTTTAAAGTAAATTCAGATTGAAAGAGTAAAGAAATTATAGTAAATTATTGTGTCCGTCCAAAAAAACCACATTACTTATAGTGAAAACCAGGGACGTGCACAGGTACGGGCTAATGTTGCCCGGCCATTTTTGTCTGACCTGCCCCTCTGGAGAGAGCAGTTTTTATTTGTTTTCTGTTGTGGCCGAATCAACATGATAAGCCCACAATTAGTATTGTAGCATCTCGCTGCAGGAAACACACCCTGTCAGCGCTGTCATCTGCCCCCAGTCACGTGACTTTGTTTACAATCTGACAGCTGGAAGCAAAGGAAAGCCCTCCTGCCTCATATGGCTCTGGTGATCACACCAAATGCCTGCCTGGCGTAAGGGACAAATCAGGGGACTTTACTTCCTCTTGACACCGTCGGTTATTTACAAAAAAAACACCTACATATACTTGTTATTGTGCTTCTGTCCTTCTGTGTCTTTTACTCTGCTCCGTAAACTCCCTCGACGGGGCCGCTCGCTCTCTTTTCTTGATCACCCTCTCACGGAGAACACTTCACTGTCACGCTTCATTGTAGGATTTCTGCCACTTCAGTTTTATTTATTTAGTATTCCATCATTTAATAACAGAAATGGTCAATCTCTGTTATTAAATTATGGAATACTAAATAAGTAATTAGATACCTTACCGTTACTGCGCTCATAAAGAATGATAAGAATAAGAATAATGTGAATTGAACTGGTTTCATTAGTGAGTTTTCATCAGTATGTCTGCACAGCAGTTACAATGGTCAAACTACATTAAAACAGAATTGTCCCCATTTTTTCTTTAATAGTTACTAACATTAGATATTTTAATGAGATATGGACCGCACAACAAAAAATGTGCCTGAATAACGAATTTAGCAGTTGACATAGAAGTCAACTGAGTGTCACTTGCAATGACACTGTTGTGTTTTTCTGTTATGAACCTTTTACATTAAAAACAAGTTAGAATTTTCAAAAGGTCTTGTGTTTTTCCGGGGGGGGGAAGAAGAGGCCCTTTTTCCAGTTTAGAGCAATAGCCCCTCCAAATGTCTGTGCACGTCCCTGGTGAAAACCACCCTTGAATGATGGGATAGTAGACTAAAAGCTTTAGGAATCCAAACTATAACATATAATAAGTACCCTGTATCAAGATTGATGCGAAACAAGTGAAATGTGACCTTTATCGAGAGATTTAGCACAAGAAAACCACTTCTGGGGTCATTTTGGGTGGATTTGACCTATCTCTGGCCCCCCTTGGTCGACTTTGATGATTGACATCTCTTTTTAACCGCTAGGCTAGAGCCAATGGAATCGAGGGGAAGTTGCACACACACACGTTACCAAATAAGGAGCGAGAGTGACGGTAGCCAAAACTGGAAGCTGTGATACGCTCTGGTGGCTACCATTAGCAGCCAAAATGTATTCTTCGATTTTTGCATAAAAATGGAATAATGGATCATCAATAATGTTTTCAAAGTGACAGACACATTGGATTAACCTATGGATTAAACTTCAGCCGCGTTTTTCTCGTTTTAATGCCATTGAACACAACTTTTGATCAGAATAACAGCTAAAGGTGAGCATATCTCCGTGTTTTGCTACCAAAAGCTACGTCGTGTGATGTCTGTATTTGCTTCCCTTGTCGCGAGTTCTAATCGCTCAGTGATGATACTTATATTTCTATAATCTGTGGAATCTCAGCATGTTAGCTTGTTTGTGCAGATCCAATAAGTATATCGATCGGTATAGCTAGAGTTCTGTGCTAAGTGCGTTAGCATGTTTTCGCTCAGGGCTCATTTAGACCCTTTTGTTTCGGGGTGTGGAAACGGTTGGTTCGTATCATCAGTTAGCTGAGTTTCTTCCCGTTAGGAGGGTATGACACATTCATAGTTTTTTTTAAATATTAAGAAGCCCTGAGACACTGGCCGTTTCTCAATCGCGAGGAAACTGGCTTCCAAGCCAATATTTCAAGGATGCTACGTCATCGAGTGCCGCCGAAGGACTGTTCCAATCTCCAGCATACTTGGAATTCCACCGAGGCCGCGTCCTTGGTTTGGGGGTAATTTCGAGGCTGCACATGGGTAGACTTCGTGTCCTTCAAATCCCCACAATGCTTTGCGCACAGACCAATTTCCCCAAATCTGTGGCGGAAAATGTAAGGCGGGGCCTCTCATATGACGCACACCTGCACAGCCTGTTCCACTCTTTGTTTTCCGAATGCCAGGAAGGATTCTGGCCTAGCTTCTGAAGGAAGTGACTCGGAAGATATGTGCTACCAAACCAGCATCCTCGCGATTGAGAAACACCCACAGTGTCGTGAAAAAATCCCAAAAAGACCCGCCGAAGGGGTCTTTGGGGCTTAACAGGTTGACAACATTGAACGTAATCTTAAAAATGCGGACCCCTTCGCTGCCAACCACAGCAGCTAAAATACCATGATATTTTTGGTTGCAGGTTTTATTGGAGTAGGTTACTGATTTTGGGGAAATTTCTCCACAGTTTGATTGGTTAACAGAAAAGACCAACCAATCACCATAACCTATCACCATAACTGCTCATATAGAAGTTGTTACCCGGCATTGACAGAGTGGAGTTCTCCCTGGAAAAGCTTGAGGACAAAGGCCAGAAGGTCACTGTGGAACTGTAACAGTGTTGGAAGGGCAGGTCCAGGGAGTGGGTGACAAGAGACCCCAGTGGACAGGCAATAACTGAAACAAAAAACATATAGAAAATCAGTAAATAGAAGATTATTGTATATTACATTTTAAATAAATGTCAAAAATGCTTGGGAAATAATATATCTTATAATGTAGAGAAGGCAATTATCTTTAAATCTCCTGTTTAAGAGGTGTACCTGATGGCAGTCTCTAGAAAAGGCCACAGGCCTGTCTTACACCGAGGACACTGCAACACCTGGGAGAAATATTTTCTCACTTTGCAGTGAGCCATCCAGGGAGGGTTGGTAATGAGCAGGTTGTACATGACATGCCTTAAATTCCTCAGGTAGAAAGATGTGGCGTGACCCTGTGACATAATAAAACAGACAACAAATCAAGTTTGACTGGTTTGTATATGTGGATACACAGTTAAAGATGTACAAAAAACATCTTACAAATGTCAAGAAACAGGTGATGCTTTTGTGCAGCCCCTGAGGCTCTTGCAGCAGCTGGTGGGAATGTGTGCATTCTGGATGTTCTGGTCCTACCTGCTGTGCATATCCTAAGAGGGAGACCAGGTATGGGGCTGGTGGCACTAGGCCAGGGAACACATCACTTCTGATCGAGTCCAAGGCTTCAATGAAGAGGCCGCACTCTATCATACTACCAACATTGCTGGAGTCTGTTTCTGTAGCCTGGAGGAATAAAATAACTTTGATGAAACATAAAAGCTATATGGAAATTAGGAGAAAAACATTGTACTCAAAGAGATGGATGGCAGAAAGAGGAGGGCAGAAGGGTAATGGAAATCGGAAGTGAATGGCCATCACAAGTTCCTGGAGGTCATTTCTGACTGTCTGTTTCTGGCAAATAGCATATGCATTCAGAGAAACAGAATGGAAACACGAGCACTTATAATAGCAATCTGATGGAGATCCACTTGGGTAAGGTGTGGACAGGACAGTTGAGATTATTGTTAATAGGCCTGCCAATCAAAATTCTCACATCAGCTGACAGTGGTGGTTAAATCGGTGACCTGAGTATGATGCGCCCTTGCTCTACATGTCACTTGCCATTGAAATATATGACATAAAGGAAATTGAATGACCTGATCTCCTTGATGAAACGAATAGTTATTTTAGAGATGTATGGTAGTAATCGTGGAGGGGAAGGCAGGTGGGTATGTACGCGTGTCTACCTGGGTCTGCGGACTGTGTGGGTCATGGTAACCCAGAAATTCGAGGAAGCACATTCTCGGCCGGCCCTGTAGCAAAAACACCCCATAAACATACACAGGGAAAACAAAGGTCATTTAGAAGCTTATTAAATGATGACTAGAAACTCAGCTTCAGTCCTTCTTTGCAATATGCTTTCACACAAACAAACACATACACACCTCCTGTTTGATGACATAATCCCTGAGCTCACTCTCCAGTTTTGAGAAGTCAACATCAACCACACTCTCTGTCTTCGTCTTCTTAGCTGGGTGATCATCCGTTAGATCAAATTTCATATCCACTAAATTGCTCTGCCAAAGAAAAATAATTACAGATTTTTAAAAACGTTTTCGGGCAAATATTCTGACAATGAGAATAACGTTGTGAACCCAGAGAGTCAATATCTGTTACATAAATTAGTTTGGCTTACCCCAAATAGGTGCTGGACTATGTGGCTAACAGGGTAGCAAGGAGCATTGTGGTATTCTGAGGCCTCTGTGATGGGTTTAGCCATGACATGAGTGACAGAGGCAGGAGAGGGAGGAGGGCAGTTGTATACTTGGGCTTTGCCTGCTTTAAGGAGCCTAGGGAAAAAAAGATTTAGTATAATACCCTGCAACATTGTGATCATATAAGGATGTGTTGTTGTAAGTTTGCGATTTCGGTGATACCTTACCGTTTGAACATGGCCCTGCGCGCGGGCTCTTGGACCTTGAGGAGGACCCTCCAGCCCTGGAAGGCCCCCCCCCAGCCGCCCACTGGCCACTTTCTCCCTCCACTGCCTGACAGGGTAGAAGGAAGATGTGGCATCTGTGGAAATTGACACTTCATAGGGTCCCTCTGCGAGCCAGGAACCATTCTTAAAACTGTCCAGCACATATTCTGGAGTCAGCACCCACTTTCCTTTTGGGGGTGGGGTGTTAAGAGAAGTTCAGTTAGATGATTAGTTTGGATATAATCAAGTCAGATTTAAATATTTGTTCTTCATTTAAAATGATCATGACTGACCTGCAGCACAGGCCGCCAAAAACTTCTCGCTGGACAAAACTTGAGGGATAATGAGATGGGTGCTGGCCTGTTGATAGACCTAGAAGATGATCCCAGCATCAGTGTACAGTTCACTTGAAATCATTCAAATCATTCTTCAACCACAAAATGAACCGTTACATATCAATCATTCACCCTGTGTTACCTTGCATTATACTGCACAAGTGTTGTGAAAGTTTGTAAATAAATGTTTTCATAGCTTTGATTTGTTAAATGCAGCCCCAATTCACTTTAATTGAGCAAGTCTTTTCACCCTTTTCTGATTCCTCTTTCACCTCGAAGACATGCGAGAAAAACATCTTGAAGGATTCAAGGTAACACAGGGTGAGTAATTTATCTACTAATGGTTCGTTTTGGGATGAAGTTTTCGAGTTAAAGAAGTTTGTATAATATAATATTGTGAGCATCCTGACAATTGTAAATTTCACTAAATCCTAAAATGTGTAAAAAGAACTACAGTAGTACATCATTTGAATAAACTACAGTAGCACGTTTATTCTCCCACAGTGTAACATTTAAACACATCTTCCTGACAGGAGCACATCAACAAAAAGAGGAACTGCTGTCAGCCAGAGGCACATTTGTTTTGCATGTTTACCAAGAACACAAAGACCAGCAGGACCCACAGTATTTTCCTACTTCTTGTTACACATGGCAGTAACTGATGAAACATACAATGACACCAGTCCCTGTACATGAATAGAGTTTAGCACTATTGTCTGATATTCATTCACTCATTTACAGTTAGTAATGTAATTTAATAAAAGCATTTCACAAGAAGTGGTTGCCGTGTAAATGCAATTAAGATAAGTTCCACACTGGAAGTTTAAGGGTGTGAATTTGTATCCGTTTGACTTATTTATGGCCCTTTATCCAAAATAGATAATATGTCAATCACAGCTGCCTACAAAACAAAACTTACTGTAACATGAAGATAAAAAAAACTCAAAAGTCAAACACAACCATATTCTTTCACACACAGTGACGTCACAAGCTACCCACAATGCAACACGCGCCATATATATATATATATATATATATAAATACGCCATTTTCATGGAGGTGCAAATATCCTGGAAGTGCAAATATAAACAGCTAGCTAACGTAGCACTAGTTTTTTGTTCTGAATTAACGACCGAAGAAATCGCTGCATGTCTTCGGATTACATCTCTGGACTTGAGGGGTGTGCTCTAGGTCGTTACCAGCGTAAACTAGAGCTGTGTGGGTTGTCGGATTGCCCTTACAGACTGCGTCGATTTTGGCTGCATCTACGTCTAATTTCTGGAAACACCAGGTGAATACCCCACTTGTCACAATAATATTATCATGCCATTGCATATGTGGTATTTTAGAGTTGACTAGATATTGATTAAGGCAATAGACTATGATATTCAGTACAGGAAGCTTAGCAACACCTAGACGGTGTACGGCTAAACCCTTGGCCTGCTTGCACCTCGCGTAAAACGGCAGATACCGGAAGTACGGTGTCGCCCTCGGCCCAATACCCGTATGTGTGTGTGAAAGAATACCATCATCAATCTACACATTAGGGAAACAAATGGAAATCCATCAAAAGTTGCAGGACTATTTGACAAAATATAGTAAAGCGTTGGTTGAAGTTCTGTGATTTTCACTATGTATATATATTTCTTTTTTGACAGATTTTTACTCACTGAGCCACCTATGTATTTTCCACCCAGCTGCCGGATTCTCTGGATCAAAACTCTCTTCTTATCAAGGATCTTGAGCCCAGATATCTGGAAAACGTGTTTGCAGCTTTCCATCCTGATGTTAAAAACACATACAAGACAACATGATGCACACGTGCATAACACGAAAATGACAGGTTGCAAGTAAACTCATCCCTTTCGCTTTACATTACATTACATTGCATTTAGCTGACGCTTTTATCCAAAGCGACTTACAATAAGTGCGTTCGACCAACAAAATACAAACTTGAAGAAAACAGAATCATATAAGTACATCAGGCTTCATAGAGCAAAAACATTTCAAGTGCTACTCAGCTGGCTTTAGATAAGCCAGCCCTTTATTAGTATATAAGTGCTTTGTTAATAGTTCTATCGCTCGAAGTGGAGTCGAAAGAGATGAGTTTTCAGTCTGCGCCGGAAGGTGTGTAAGCTATCTGCTGTCCTGATGTCAATGGGGAGCTCATTCCACCATTTAGGAGCCAGGATAGCACACCCACGTGTTTTTGCTGATGGGAACTTGGGTCCCCTTCGCAGCGAGGGTGCAGCGAGCCGTTTGGTTGATGTGCACGTGCTGGGGTGTACGGTTTAACCATGTCCTGGATGTAGGAAGGGCCAGATCCATTCACAGCATGGTAAGCAAGTACCAGTGTCTTGAAGTGGATTCTAGCAGTTATCGGAAGCCAGTGAAGGCAGCGGAGGAGTGGCGTGGTGTGGGAGAATTTAGGAAGGTTGAAGACCAGGCGAGCAGCTGCATTCTGGATGAGCTGCAGAGGTCGGATGGCACATGCAGGTAGACCAGCCAGGAGGGAGTTGCAGTAGTCTAGGCGTGAGATGACGAGAGCCTGGACCAGAACCTGCGTGGCTTTCTGGGTCAGCTGGGGACGCATCCTCCTGATGTTGTAAACAAAGCATGTATCTGCAGCAGTGGGTTGTAGCAGCTATGTTTGCAGTGAAGGACAGGTTGTTATCTAGGGTCACACCCAGATTCCTTGCAGTCTGAGTCGGGGAAACAACAGAGGTGCCAATGTTGATTGTTAGGTCAAGAGTGGAACAATCTTTTCCCGGAAGGAAAAGCAGTTCAGTCTTGTCAAGGTTGAGCTTGAGGTGATGATCAGACATCCACTGAGAGATGTCAGCTAGACAAGCAGAGATGCGTGCGACGACCTGGGTCTCTGAGCGGGGAAAGGACAGAATTAATTGGGTGTCGTCAGCGTAGCAGTGGTATGAAAAACCATGCAGGCTAATGACTGATCCGAGCGAGTTTGTGTACAAGGAGAAGAGGAGGGGACCAAGAACAGAGCCCTGAGGGACCCCTGTAGTTAATTGACAAGGGTCGGACTCGGACCCTCTCCAAGTAACCCTGTAGGTGCGGTCTTTGAGGTATGAGGTGAGGAGGGAAAGTGCAGAGTCTGAAACTCCAAGTGCTTGGAGAGTGCGAAGGATGATCTGATGATTCACCGTGTCGAATGCAGCAGACAGGTCCAAAAGGATGATGACAGAGGAGAGGGAGGCTGCTTTAGCAGTGTGCAGTTCCTCAGTGACAGCAAGGAGGGCAGTTTCTGTGGAGTGACCTGCCTTGAAACCAGACTGGTGCGGATCCAGAAGGTTGTTCTGATGGAGATAGCAGGAGAGTTGTCTAAAGACAGCGCATTCAAGTGTTTTAGATAGGAACGGGAGGAGAGAGACACAAATAATCCTGCCATTCTTGTTTGACTGGATGATTTGAATTGGCTCCACATCAAATTCAAAGACTATTGGAATAAACACGAAGGGGAGCAATTGTATAATCCAATCTACATTTAAAAAGACACTTGATTTGTTTGGAAATTGAATTTGACTAACCTAGTTAATGTATAGTTCCAGAACAGGTTAACGTTACTTGCATTCAACCAAATCAATATGGGTCTACTAACACTTTAGGCGATATGCACTTACATAATGTTGGCTTTAACAACACACAGTCTGAGACTAAATGATCAAATATATACATGAACAATCTTTGTGCATTAACTAGCACTTTATTCTCTGTTGTCATCAAAACATCTGACTGTTCGTCTACCTTTCCTCATACCACCGATCATAACATGAGTCCTCCAAGTTACGCAGAGGCGCGCCAAAACCGACATCCACTAACGTGAGCAGTGTTTAGTACAAGGCTGCTTCTGCCAAATACATGTATAACTTCGCGAACAAACATATATGACGACTTTGTTCATCAGTATTAATAACAGCTCTGCAATATGTGTTAAATCCCTCAGGCTAGATCACCCGCCCAAACGCATTTGTTGACAGCTTCACGGCATACGTATGGGAGGGGAGGCTAATCATATAGTAGTACATATTACAGGCATAAGAAACATTAAAACGACTATATATTGGAATTAAAAGACGTAAAACACTATAGAGATTAGCTACTTTCACATAAATGTTACCTACTGCTAGCACAATCACGTATATTTCTGCCATTAAACAAGTACCCCCCCCTCTTATTTAGTTGGCTTCTTCCGTGAAGCGGAAGTTTTCATGCAGCTACTTCCGGGTTGTTGTCACGGACGCTTTCTGTCCCCGGAAATAACGGCAATATCTGGATATCATACAGCACTTATTGACTATTGGTGATGGTTGATTGATCGATAATAATAACAACGTGATTCTGACAGAGAGCCTGCTTATGAAACCGTAGAGCTGTTTACGAAAACTGCTTAATTAACGTTCCGTGACAGCGAGATAAGCTACCATCACAGTAACCATATCAACCTAACGTTACGTGGTGGCATATTTGCTGTTTAAGTGTTTTGGTATACTGCTTTTTTAAAGCTACATATGGCTTTCGTAACATAAATGTGGCAGCAAATGAGGCTGTCCATATTCCTGTGTGTGATGGATTAGCATTTAAACGAGAGACAAATAAAAGGAGCTTTTGAAAGGTAAGAAACCGTTACCCAAATGAAAGGCTACACGTGCATGATGTAACACTGAACCACTATGTTTATGTGACATGTGAATCCAGCACATTTAAAAAAAGATACAGATGACCTGACAAAGTTAGCAAGTACAGTGGCAATTCTTTGTTATGCTGATACCGACTGCCTTATCTGTGACACATGGTCAAATACTACAAGTCGGTAATGTTTAAAATCCACTGATCAGCATTTAAAGTGACAGTCTGAGGTATCTCTCTAATTGATGTGTTGCTTACATCTACAAACAGATGCTATTTCTTAACACCAGGCTATAGAAGAGACAACTATTATAATATAATATCATTAAAGGAGCTTTATTTTCAAGCCATGACTTGTTTTTGATAAATAGTTAACATTCATCTTAAATGTCCGGTTAGGATGTATTAGAACGAAATCTAAAATGAAAATTGTAAATAAGCAATCTGTATGTAAAAAACCACCTGTATGTAAATTGTAAATAAGCCATCTGTATGTCAAATATGTCTTATATGTCTTAAATGACATGATGAATTGGAAATGGGGGACCCTGATGTAAACAAGACGAAAGTCTTTCTCTGGTCTGCATCCCCTTAACAATTGTATGTTTTGAGCTGTACTGTACTGTACCCAATATACAAGCTGTTAATACACTTTTCAATCAATCAATCAATCAATAACTATGAAGTGTGATGCTTTTCAGCTTTTCGGTCCATTGTATTATTTAAAAATGAATCACATTTTGGTTTGAAGCTGTTTTTAAAAAAAATGACAACAATTTGAAACCCCTTATTTTATTGTGTGGTCACAGAGATCTTTTTTCTGACTATGGATGCAATGAAAAGCAAGTAAAAGTCAAGAGCTCCACTCTCACTTGTTGCTTACACCTCTCAACTTATACAATATGTGTGATTGCACCACCAAAAATACTCAAAATACTGTTATAATATTCAAGTGTACCAAATGAGAATTAAATGAGAATATAATGCATTTTAAGCCCTTGTGATAAAAGGATTGAGATGAAAAAGGCATTTGAAATATTATATATATGCACATTAAATACCTTTGGGTTTTAGACCATTGGTTAAAAAGACAATAATTTAAGCAATTTAACTTAGGGTCTGTTATATTCACTATTTTAACTATTATCTGGCATTGTACAAACTAAATGATTGCACACTATGGGCTATAAGATTAATTGATAATATAAATAGTTGTCTGTGCATCCATATTGGACATATTCATCTTTCCAGCTTAGAATGTATTGATATAGTTAATTTGTACCTAACTGCAGTTATTAAATACAACCATTGAAACTTTCATGTTTATGTCAGTTCTCCTCCGGTAAATGAATGTTTAGTAAATGATTTAAGCTACACAATATGAGCTGCTCCAGTGTAACAATATTGTCTGGTTTTTCAATATTTGTAATTGACTCATTGCTCAGGGTACTTTAATACTGTTGAATGATGATGATTATTACAGAGAAAACAGCAATGACAAGTAATATCATGATTAAGTCATGTATTATTCATCCCCTCAGTGTAGGCTAATCACATGGGCATTTGTTATTATATTGCTAGTTGTTTCACCGCAATTTCTGAACAGTCTTACACAACATATTTCACGAAGATATGGTGTAGACATATTTCCCTATAGTAAAGGAAAACAATTGATCAATATATCTGAAAATGAGTAGTGCCTATTAAATTGACCAGAACTATCACTATATCAGGAGGGATGAAACTAAAGCCCATATAAGGAATTATTGTTAAAAAGAAAATCAGTCAAATGCAGTGCGCTGTAGTGGGACTATGTGGTTGCACAGCAACAGTGAAGCCATGCTCCCCCCTGAGAGTGCATTAGATAGTTCTCCCCAGTATTGTGATCTTAGAATATGCACCTATTTCATGTATCATGTTTCCTTTACTGCAGACTGTTAGGTAAAAGGTACGCTCTTTAAAATAGTGTTGACTTGACATGCTCTAAGTGGCTTTAAAGCGACGGCCTGGGGGACATGCTGCTAAATATTTCAGGACAAACTCATTACTGTAAATGGGCATCAGCAAGATAGATAGATAGGAGAGTGATGTGTGTGTGTGTAAGTGTTTCCCCTGATCTAATAGCTGTGGAGTG